CTGTAACAAATTCAGAGAATGCGATAGTGCAGCAAATTAGGTATTTACCTGTTTATATTCTAATAAAATTGAATGGTATAAGTTTCAAGTAAGCATGATTAAACTTAAAATGGTAGGAGTTGGACAACTTAAGTCCTATTGAGTTTAATGGGAGAATTAAGTTCTACCCTAAATCTCTCCACTAGAATTTAATGTGCTTATCCTTGGCTGGATTATGACAAGTCTTTGCAGTTTCATGTGTTTTCTCTGAGGTCTTAATACATACGCAAACAACTCTGCTTTCATACAGAACTTCATTTTCTTAAAAATTAATAATTAACATTGGTATGTTACCACTAAGATAATGTCTCCTGGTTGAGGCTGATTTCAAGGCTCCTTGAACATGATGAATTCCCTGTGAATATGGGCTGACTCAGTCTTTGTACAATTGGAAGTTGAGCTGCATGCATTTGAATTAAATGTGCAAAACCTGTTTCCAACATTGTTGTGATTAAGGAAACCTATGTTTAATGAGGAGCTTTGTGTGTGCATTAGAGACCTGTCAGAATAAATGTATTATAATAATACAGGAGTAGTATTATTATCATCATCATTAATTTACTAATCATCTTCTGAACAGCATTGATGTATACTGGAGATAATTAAAAACAGTTAAAAACACAAGAACAGCAAATACATTTCCAAAAAAATGTAGAAGAAATGCCATGTAAAATATCTCTGTTTTTAGAGCATTTGAAGATGAGAACAGCTGAAACCATTCCAAATATTCAGGACCATGCAGTGCATGTTGCAAACTCTACATTTGAATTGGTTCAGTTGAACCAATTACAACAAATTTTGCCTGCGAAGTAGATGGGCATTATGTTAAGGCAGCCTAGATTCGCTTGGTCATGGCGGTTTGCCTGTGCGATGGATTTATTTGCCGCTACCATTGTCACAGTATAGTTTTGTCTGCTTCGTTGTACTACCTCTAGGCAAGTTGTCTGCTCCTCTAATCATCTTTAAGCCAGTGGTACACAGTGATGGTGGGAGAGAATGCCTGAGAGCAGCTGTGCCTAGCTATCAAGATCAGAGGATGAAAATTAGCCAGCATTTGGAAATATAATAGGCCAACTGAGTAGATCCACCACCACAAAAGAGGCATAGGAGATCAGAGATCTGCACTCTCAGAAGGCAAATGATTCAGTTGGCACCATATGTAAAAGCTAGGCTACTAACTGGGACCAGTCAGAGGAGACATATCTCAGCAGTTCTTAAACAGTTGCACTGGCTGCTGGTCCATTTCTAGAGGCTGCTCAAAATGCTGGTGATCACCTCTTAAAGCACAAATTAGTTTTATATGCATGTACCTCAAGGATTCTGTTGAACCTGCTTGAATGCTCCATTTTTCACCAGTGCCCCAGGTGATGAGCAGGGAGAGGACACTTTATGTGGAATGATTGCCTAGCACCAAGTTTGATGCCTCACTCCTAAAAAGCAGGAGTGAGTTATGTGCTTCCTCTCTCCCAGTATGCCAGTTTGTAGGCTATGTTAAGTCAGCTGTCAAACACCCTTGCCCTGCTGAGCAGGAATTGAGCATGGGAACTTGCTATTGAAATTTCCAGTGTCTCTGACCTACCTGCAAGGCAAAGTACACTAAGCCCAGTTCTGAAATTGCAATCCTGATTGACTGCTCATGTAGTCTGTTGTAATGGGCTTCCTGACAATGCAAATTATATGTCTCATCCCATCTAATAATGGCCAGCGACTATACTTAGTTCCTTGTTTAATCTGAACCACAAAGATTGAGAAACTATATAACCATAAAAATGGGAGAAAGAAATTGCAACCAATGGCCACATAAGAACGTCTGTTTACCACCACCAGTTTTCCTATAGAAATGAAGCTGTGCCCTTGCGTCTGACTTTGAGGTTCCATTGGCACAAAGAAGGTGTGGAATGCCTTCAGGAGAGACAACTCTTGTTTCATGAGCTTCACAAAGTAGCCAAAGATCAAATAGCTAAATTCATACTGAACCTACAAAAGGCAACTTTTTCCGTAAGTGACTCTGACAAAGCACTGTATTCGGTAGCTTGTCGCTGCATCTGTAAATAGGATTTTATTTACTGTGGTCAGCCTGACAGTGCACACTTAGACAAAGAATGGTTTACAATCCAAAGCAGGCATCTATAGGTGTATATTAAGGTATACGTAATTCTGACTTGTATGTGGTAGTAAAATTGCCTGTTGTTCTTGGTGTGCTGCCAGCAGTAACCAGAACTGCACTTTCTCACATGCAGATACCAGCTGATGCCATGACACATTTTAAGCACTATGATACCACTTTAAACAGCCATGTTGTTATTTAGTCGTGTCCGACTCCTTGTGACCCCATGGACCAGAGCACACCAGGCACTCCTGTCTTCCACTGCCTTCCGCAGTTTGGTCAAACTCATGTTAGTAGTTTCGAGAACACTGTCCAACCATCTTGTCCTCTGCCATCCCCTTCTCCTTGTGCCCTCCATCTTTCCCAGCATCAGGGTCTTTTCCAGGGAGTCTTCTCTTCTCATGAGGTGGCCTAAGTATTGGAGTCTCAGCTTCATGATCTGTCCTTCCTGTGAGCACTCCGGGCTGATTTCCTTAAGAATGGATAGGTTTGATCTTCTTGCAGTCCATAGCTTCCCCCAAAGAATTCTGAGAGCTGTGGTTTTTTAAGGGTCCTGAGCAGGCATAGGCAAACTGTGGCCTTCCAGATGTTTGGGACTACAATTCCCATCATTGCTGACCACTGGTCCTGTTAGCTAGGGATGATGGGAATTGTAGTCTCAAATATCTGGAGGGCCACAGTTTGCCTATTCCTGGTCCTGGGAGTTGTTAGGAGGCCCCTATTCCACTTGCAGAGTTAAATTGTCAAAGTGGTTTAACAATCAGTACCTCTTCACAGGGAACTCTGAGATTGTAGCTCTGGAAGTGAAATAGGGGGGCGTGGCCTGACTGCCTACCATGTTGCTGCTTCCTTTAGTGAACAGAAGCTAGAACACTCTATATTCAATCGCTATGGAGGTTTCAAAAACACACTTTTCAGTTTACTTCAAAGGGTTCCTTTTTGAGGTGGGAGCGAGTTGTCAAGGGTAGATGTGTGCAAATAGCAAACCACTTTTCCCGGCGATTTGTTGTGTTTAATGCTTTAATCTGATAACTTGCATGTCTCTGCACAACCTCATTCCTGTTTTATCCAATGAAGTGAAAATGGCTCTCACTTGGAAAACGATATAGAAATGTTAATGCAGCTGAAAATTCAGAGTGAGAACCCACTTGAGGTGGCAGGGAACATGGCATTCCCTGCACAGCACATTCCCTGTGCCTGCTGCTATCCCATGCATCTCATAGTAGTAATTGTCACTATCTATTGGTCATGGAAGTGCTGCTAGGAGTCAATACTAACGGCTGCCAAAAGTTCATTAATATGGGGCTGTGATGTGAGAAGGCTGCTCTTATCTTGTCCCTGCTGACATAATTTGGAGCGGTTGGTGAATTTTTCAAGCCTGTCAAGCATCCAATTGTTTACGAGGATGATACTCAAATGTTATACTGCTTTCTTGTGTTTTGCTTTTGTTGGCTATCTCTTGCGTGCTGACCATCTGCTGCTAAACACAAATCTTGAGCTACTCTGCCTGTCACATGGAAAGAAGGGACCATGTTAGGAAATGGC